TCCGGCCCCCTTTCATCTTTACCATTGTTATTTAAAAGGGGAAAAAAGTGTTGAAAAGAGTTTGACTTGGAGGCTTTCCCCAAAGTTGAAATGAATTAGCAATTAGAGCTAGCACTTAATCTGATTCTGTTTCTTTTTTTTTTAATGTTGTCAGTATTTCATAGATTTTTATCGAAACATATTGAGGTGAGCTTCATGAGAAAATTCTACAGGTCTGGCAACCCCACCCCCTTGGCTGGCTAGTGGTGACTCCCATCCATGAATTATCCTGTAGGTCTGGGGGCCGAAGGGGGGGGGGAGGATTGCACATTACTTCCTGCTTTGGCTCCCTGGGGAACTGGCCGCTGACAACCCCTTCTGAACATTTGCATTTGCATTTGCATTTGGGGGTGTGGGCAGGGGGCTTTGTTAAACTTCTCAACACAACCCATCTTGGAAGGTCTCAGGAATGTGGAGGAAATTAAAATGATTTGCACTCGGATTTTCCTAAAACATCGTATCTGGATGTGGAAGAGATTGCAGTACAGGGAAGGCCAGCGGGGAGAATTTGCTAAGGGCCCAGATGAGGGAGCAAGAGAAAAAAAGTGAAACTGGGGTCCGTGAACCCGGAGCTGCAAGTATTCGAGATAGAACGAGCGTTAGTCCTCAAAATCATGGTCAAAAGTAAACAAAAAAATGGACTTTATTTTAAAAAACAACAACAAAATTTATTTTTGAGTCTGGGAATTGAACCCAGGGCCTCCGGCATAGCCAGGCACGTCCTCAACGGCTGAGTCACATCCACGCCCCTACGCAAGTGGGTTTCAAAGAGACAGCACTTGTCATTCACAGATGACGATGACACTAGTCTCAAAATAGAAAGGGATCGTCTACGTTAAACTAGCCTCTAGTCCTAGATCAGAAAAACTCCTGCGGGCGGGGCAGAAATCGTGAGGTTTGAATGAAACAACATGGAGTAAAAAAATCAAAAGCCTCCCGGGAAAGGCTACTAAGAAAGAAGGAGTGGGCCGTGGGGCAGTGAACAGCTGGGAGAAAGTGAAGGAGGGGGGTCGCAAAAGGCACGCTTTGCTGATTTGCAAATGTATTGAAACGACAAGTATCGGCAAAGCCAGAGGAAACAGAGACCACATTTAGTTGCCTTGCCGAGAAACCTTTACAGAAAAGAACAAAATCAAGACAAGCTGGGACGTTTCTGGAAATTTCCAGATAGTTCCCCATGCTCAGAAGAATGTTTAAGAGAGGGAAACTCTACCGACTGGTTACACGGAAGGGTGGAAAATTTTGAAGGACGGGCTGATTATGTAAGTTTGAGGCTGTGGTGTCTTAAACTGCTGCCATGATATTTCAGTTAATAACAATTTGGAGGCGCTCTCTTCGCTTCTGGAGAAACATTTGGCTCTAAGGAGAACGAAATGCCACTGTTTCTGAATTCCCAAGTGGATGTAAGGAGCCATTCACTTGCTAAGCCTCTTAGGGAAGAAAGCAAAGCCAACTCCGCCCTCAATAAGCTTCTGATCAAGGTACCCCCAACCCCTCACCACGTGCACAGCCCACCAAACGGGGCTGTAGCCTCAGACTGGTGCGTAAGCCCCGCGTGCCCGCGCCCAGTCACCCTGACAGCTCCCGCATGGAAAATTTTCTCAGGTCTCAGGGCTGCTGTGAGCACAGCCGCCAGCACTCACCGCTCCGGCCGCAGGAACAGAGCCAAGAGTCCGGCCTCCTGCGCTCACACCCACGGCAGCCCACTCTGTCCCCGAGGCCTCTCGGGCATCATCCTGCAGAACTGTCACGGTTCCCAGAGCATTAGAGGAAAACCAGCCTCGTTTGATAGAGGAGACCCAGGGAGGTTAAGTCACCTGCCTCAGTCACACAGCCAGTGGCCTCCTCAGGGGCCAGAGCTGAGCAGATACCCTCAACCCAGACACACACACACACACACACACACACACACACACACACACACCCTGTGCCCACTCTTCCTAACCCGCAGCGCGTCTATTTTTTTGCTTTTGCAGTATTTCCTGAAGCACCCACACTGACGTGCAGTCACCCCCCTACCCCAGGTTCGAGAGGTCAGATCCAGTTTCCACAGCAGGTCAGCCGTGGGGCCACTGTGCTGGGACAGTTAGAGATGTAAACAGAGCCCAGGGTGGTGACTTCAAACGGGAAGATGAATCATTCGTGACCCAGTGCAGTTTAGCGGCCTAGGCTGCTCCCAACGGGCGTCCCTGGAGAGAGAAGGGTGTCTGGCGTGGAGGAGGCTGGGCCCTGCTGGGGTGCGTGTGTCTGCCTGTCCCTGGGTCCCCCCCCCCCCCCCAGGCTGGCCAGCCTTCATTTTCTAAACGACACCAGCCTTCCTTTGGACTTGAAGTCAGTGTTTTTCTTTGCCCTCTATCGTTTAAAATGTTCTCCCAGCAACTGCTTTTCCAGGCTCGGTCTTCCATACAGACTCCCGTCCGCTTTCTTTATCCACATGATCACTTTTTTTTTTTATAAAACAAAACAAAACACAGGCAGGAGCGGGGCTGCAGAATCACAACCCCTAGATTCCAGGCTGGAAAACAGGATGTTCGTCGGGCGGAGAACGGGCCTTTTCCACCCTCCGCGATTGGAAGCGCGGCTCTTCTGCACCCAAGTCGAACGGTCAGATTCAACATCCAAACGCACGAAACCCAGGCCTGGGCGCGCGAGGCGTTTCTCGGGCCTGCCGTTTCCCTTTAGTTTTTGTTGCTTATTTGATTGGGGTGTGCGCGTGGGGTGGAGGGGGGCGGTGGGGTGCATCCCCCTGGCGCTGCAAGGCTCAGTGCTCGAGGCCGGGGCTTGTTGTTGGGGGTGCCTGGAATTGAACCCAGGGCCTCACTCGTCCGAGGCAAGAGCAGCCACCGCGCAAGCCACACGTTACCCGGCTCGGTAACGGGTTTGCGGAGATTGAGTGGCTTGACCCAAGCTAGGGTCGGGGTCCTGCTCATGGGGGGGTTCTGCAAATCAGCTGGAGGCCTCCCCACGCGCCCCCTCGGCCGGGTGACGCACAGGTGCCACCCTAAGGTGTGGGTCTCACGCATTCCAAAGGCGCCCCATTTCTTCCCGTGCAGGCGGCCCGGGGGTGCTGGGGGGGCGCAGGGCGGCCAGGGGGACCCTGAGCGCCGCCGGCCCGGCCCCGGGAGCGGCGCGTCGTGCGCCCCGGCCCCCCGCCGCGTCCGGCCGGTGTCCCGGGGGTGCGGGCGCGGGGCGGGCCGGCCCGGGGCGCCCGGCCGCCGCCTCCATTTTCTGGGCGGTGCTGCGCGGCGCCGGGCCGGCCTGGCGGCTCCGGAAGCGCCGCGGCCCCCGGGGAGCGGCGCGCGCGGCCGAGCGAGCCCCGTAAGTGCCGCGCGCCGGGCGGGGGGCGGCGGGGGGCGGCGCGCGCGCGGGGGCTGCAGGCACCGCCCCGCCGCTGCAGGGGGGTCCCCGCCCCGCGCCCGCAGGTGTCCGGGCCTGCGGCGGGGGGCGGGGGGGGCGCAGGTTGCGCCTCCCGCCGGGGCCCCAGGTGCGCGGCCGGGGCTGGGGGGCGCCGGGACAGGGCGGGGGAGACGCGCACCCCGGGCCTGGGAACGGCGCGCGCCGCCGCATCCCTCGGCGCGGGCGGCTCGGACCCAGCCTCGACAGCCCCCGGGGGGACCTGCCGGTCGCCCGAAGCCGGGGTCCGCGCGGAGCCCCGCACCGCAACCCCTGCGGGGGTGATCGGGACACCCGGAGGCAGGGCCCGGCCCCCGGGCGGGGCGCGGGGGTGTCGGGGTCCCGCCGGGGCACTTGTTTGCAGGGTGGCCCCGGTAGACCTCGGAGAGTTGGGTCCGCCCGCGGCCGCACTCTGTAGCTGCCGCCCCCGGGAGGTAAGTGGGCGCCCCCCACGGCTTCACTTGGATCTGGGGGCTGCCGCCCCCACCCCCGGAGGCATCGGAGACCCGCAGGATCACTGGGACCTGGGACCTATTTGAAAGGCTAAGCCTTTTTAAAATTATTATTATTATTATTTTATGTTTAATCCTAATTACGAAGCTCAGCTATTGGGTCAGGCTCTCTTGATTTAAAAAAAAATACGAAGCTTTTTTTCCTTTCCTTTTTTCTTTTTTCTATTTGAGCGCGTTGTGGCCGAGAAGTGAGGACTTCCCTGGGCCACCGTGTTCCCCCAGCAAGGGCGGGTCCCCCATCCGCCCGAGTTGCCAAGTCAGTTTGGTGGGTCGCGACCAGAGCTGCCTCGAGACGCCAGAGGAGAGAATGGAGAAGTGGGAAAGCACCAGGGCCCGCGTCGGAGCCCCGCGCTGTGTGCACACGCAGGGTTTCGGTTTGTGTCTCCCCGAGCTTCTCTGCTCTCTGTTTTAAGAGATGGGGGTGAGGGGCCTGCATCCGAGGCCCCTTTTCTCTGCGAGACCCACCATGCAAGGCCACAGGCTTTGGTGCTCCCTGCGCAGTGGTACTGGATCCCCGGTGCTCAGCCCACCCACCAGGCAGTGCTCAGGGGCCCCCCAGTGCCAGGAGGTGTCGCACCCCGACCTTACGCAGGCCTGAAGCCAGCCCTTTGAGCCATCTCCCTAACCCCTGTAATGTAATTAAAAAAAAACAAACAAACCTACTATGGTGGGTCACAATAAAGAAAAGAAAAAGGACAGTTGGCAAGGTGCTGCTTACAGGTTCTGAATTTAGTTTAAAGGTAGGGCCTGGGTCTCGCGGGTGACTTAACACGAGCTTTGTGACCTTCGGCAGAACCTGTGACCTCCCGGAGCTCGTGTGTGCGCGTGTATGTGTGTGTGTGCGTGCACACGTGTGTTGGGGTGTCTCCCACACTGGAGGGTGTAATGACACTGGCCAAGGCCACCCCTTCCCCCCTGCCCCGGATCAGCCGCCTTGCTCAGCACTCAGCTCTGAGTAGGTAACGATCGTGGTGGCAGCCGCGGTGGCTGCTGCTGAGACATCAAATCCCGGCAGCGAGTCACGGGACACGGCCCTTTTGTCTTTGTTTTTTTCAGATCTTGACGAGGAGGAGATGGAGGACTCGGGACCCGGGATTTCCAAGTGATTTCTTCCCGAGCACGAGAAACTCACTGGGTTAAGGCTGGTCTGCGCTCACTGAGGTAACTAAGTTTGCATTTCTCCTTCCTGCGCCCACCAGAAATCGACAAAAGGTGTTGTTTTTTGGCGTTTTTTTTTTTTTTTGGTGTTTTGTTTTGTTTTATTTTTCCTGTGTCACACCGGATGCACTCCCCGGGGGGGCTGGTGATTTGTGCCAGCAGTTCACCGGACCTGGGGCTGACAAAGTTATTAAGTTGTTAAGGAGACCAGGTGGGGAGGTCCCTGGGGCCACGGGGAGCTAAGTGAACAGGGCTTGGGGACAACTGCTGCTAGTCGGCTTTGGCCTGTGATGGTCCTGGGAGCTTCCTGGCAGCGTCCCTGGAGGTCTCGGGCTTCTCCTGGCTGAGGGACCCCCAGGCGCACTTGAACCTCAGAGGGAGCACAGGGCGTTGCAGGGGGCCCTTGCTAAGGTGGGGGTTCAGCTGGAACCTTAGAGAACATTGCAGGAGGCCCTTGCCGAGGTTGGAGCTCCGCTGCCCTGCCCTCCGGAGCTCAGCGGCCAGCCTGTGGCCTCCAGGCTGCCTGTGAGTGTGTGTCCACAGGGACAAGTGACCCAGCAGGGAGCACCCAACTCAGATGCCGTTGGTGGGCGAGGCTGATGGCCCAGCCCAGGAAACTCCACCTCTGAGGCGTCTGCAAAGGCTGCTTGCACCCACACATGTGTCCACTCCCAGGGCAGGGCACTCAGGACCTTGAGGTACTGGAGCGCTAAGAGGGACATGCACGGTACCCCCACACTGTGTGCCGTGCCCTGCCAGGGCAGGAAGCGCTGAGAAGGGCAGAAATCGGAGTGTGCGGGCAGCTTTGAGCACGGCCCACACCTCCAGTCCGAAGGTCCGGGCTCCCACTTTGGGGTCCACGGCAAAGTGCTCGTCCTTCACGAGCTCAATGCCAACCCGAGCTGGGCACTGCCAGAGGCTCTCTCCTTCCCTCCTTCGCCGGCTTTGCTCTAGCTAGTTGCAGGAAGCGACCAGATCAGTTGCAGGAAGTGACCGAAGCCACGGAGGTCAAGGTTTTGCCTCCCCACGAAAGGTTGGGTCTCCGCCCCATCCCCAACTCCAACTTAACTTATACTTTCATCCACCTATTAAAGCAATGTGCAGGCCCTCTAGGAATTCACTTCGACTGTTCTTTCGGCTTCTTTTATTGAGCCACTCAGGTTTGGAAGACCGAATGATGACTGTGGTTTCAGCATGTTTATTAGTCAGGTGTGGCCTTAACCTAGCCAGGAGTTATTTATTCAGCCCTTAGAGATGTTCTGACACAAAGGTGCTAGAATTTCTCCAGACCACTAGTTCCAGAAAGATGTTGATCTGTCAACAGGGGTTCCAACCAGATATACAGAAAAACAAAATTTAAAAAAAAAACTGCTTTGTTTTGTTTTTTTCCTTTTTGGGCCACATAAGGCGATGCTCAGGGGTTACTCCTGGCTCAGGAATCACATCTGGTGGCGCTTGGGGGACCATATGGGGTAACAGGGACCAAACCGGGTTACTGTGTACAAGACAAGTGCCCTACCTGATATACTATCTCTCCAGTCCCCCATTTAAAAATATTTTTTTAAAAATGCACCTCCTGGCAGTTCCTAGCCCCCTGGGCTGACGAGACTGGGGTGCGGCTCAGGCCCTGCAGTGCTAGAGATCACCCCGGGGGGCACCCAGTGGGTGATCAGGGGGCCCTCAGGGCTGTACCTGGCAGTGCTTGGGGTACCACGTGGTATCACAGATCCAGCTGGGGCTGACCACATGCAGGGTATGCTCCTCAGTTTCTGTTAAGGAGACAGGGTCTCCCGGCACACACCACCCCCCGCTCCAGGATTTCTGCTTTTTAAACTTTTGATTCTGCCATTACTGCCACCTGCGGCTCAAGGCCTTTTGTTTGTTCACTCAGCCTCTGCAGAGAACAGAGTGGTTTGGCAAAGGGACTTCCTTTGACTGGAAATGCTTCCCTCTTGAGCCCGTGTGGACCGCTCAGGACCGTGAGTGTTCAAAAGTGGAGTCATTTAAGAGATACTTGGATTTACAAGGTCCAGGGTTAGTGTTCCCGTAATGGCACCAGGCCACAGCAATTGGCTTGTAAATCTCGAAAGCTACTTGTACCAGGTGTCAGCTCTGACGAGAACAAATGAGATGTTGACTGCATTGCGAACTTTCAGGAGTTCTATAAATGTTGTGACAAATATTTATCGTGTGGGGGGGGGCTGGGCGAGGCGGAGATGAGGAGGAGCAGGATCCTGAGCTAGAGAGAATGGGAGTTTCTGAGCTGAACTCTGGCTTCCTTCCCTCTTAGCCCTATTACATGGTTGAGGAAATAAACTCGATAGCCAAGGGCCCCAGATGCCAGCAAAGATATTTTGAGGTGGAAGAGGCTCCTTCTTGAAGTCCAGGATTCTTTCTTGAGAAAAAAAAAAGATAGTATTTAAGGGCCCATGAGATAGTTCAGGGGTAAAGACACTTGCCGTGCATCTACCCACTCCCGTTCAATGCCCAGCACCATCAGGAGTGATCTCTAAGCGCAGAGCCAGGAGGGAGCCCTGCGCACTGCCAGGTGTGGTGCCAGAACATATCCATAAGATGAGCCAGGCCAGTGAGAATGTGCGTTTCCAGAAGAGACGTTTGAAAAGAGGAGGAGGGGAAAGGTAGGGAAGTGCGGGGCCTTTTCGAGAAAAGGTTGTGAGTGTGCCTGAGTGAAAACCTGCTGCGGAGCCCCGGGCAGGTGGCCCCCCTAAAGTGCCCAGTGCCCGCAGCCAGCCTGAGGAAGCTGAGTGCAGTAACCTCCAGGCGGCACTGCAGATGCTTGCCGCTTTGCCCAGGAGCTCCGGGAGATTAGGAGGGCAGGTGCAGAGACTCTGAGCAGGAGAAACCCACCCCCCAACCCCTGCCACCACCCAGGAAAGGGAGATAAAGGGTCTTGGGGAGATGGACGACGGTTTGCAGCAGCTAAGGGGCACGTGGGTGGTCCAGGGTGCGGGGAGGACTCAGACCCCACCTCGAGATTTCCAGAGCGCGGGTCCTGGGAAGAGGGGCTGGATGGTCAGTGTGGCGCTGAGTTCTGGGGGTGGCACCAAGACGCCACCCAGGGAGACAGGACTGTGCTTAGGGGAAATGAAGATGAGGCCAGAGGCAACACCACCCAGCGACGAGATGTTGCAGAAGGAAGAGATGGGGCGTGGGGCAGGGCCTTCTGTGACAAGAAAGGACAGGGTCACTCTGGGGAGCAGTCTGAGAGGGGGACAGCGGAAACATGGGGGAGCCTGCTTCCAGAAGCCTGGGGGAGGGCTTGCTCCCAGAGTCGGGGGAGCCTGGAGTGGAAGGGGCGAGGCCCCAGAATTGGTAAGTGCTGGGGCAGTGTCCTTGGCGTAATACTAGACTTGCGGGATGAATGTGGAGCTTGCTGGTGTGACTTGAGTGGTAAAGGATCTGCCAGGCCTGGGTGAGGTCCCAGGTTTGATCCCCAACACCAAACACACACCCACATGCGCACGCGCACGTACACACACACACACACACACACAGACTTTTCAACTCGCAAACATCAAGGATCCCTGTTCAAACGCACTTCTGATTCCCAAACTTCAGGCTAGTAAAGGAGGCTGTGCACTTTATTGTCTTCTCAACCAATCAATTAAGGAATATCTGCTGGTAGGATAAGTTCTTTAAAAACTTACTGTTGACTCTGAGGGTGTTGAAAGGTTCTGTGATTCCTTTGTCTTTCGCTCCCTCCGTGTTGCACGAGGGTGTGTGTGTGTGTGTGTCTGTGTGTCTGTGTGTGCGCGCGCGCATGCGTGTACGGGCCGGTGTCTTTGTGTGTGCACGCACACGCATGTTTCCACGGGCCTGTGAGCTTAGTGCAATGGAATGAGAGGACCCGGGGTCAGATAAATCGAGTTTCGTAACCTTGCTGGGCCATTTTCCAGGCTTGTGACTTCAGAAAAGCTACCCTCTTGCTAAGCCTAACTTTTTCCATCCATAACTCAAACAGGATTATTTGGGAGATTGAGTCATTATACTCCGGTCAAAACTTTCACCATAGCGAGCAATTAATGCACCTTCCGTCCCTGCCCCTGTCAACCTCGCCTTCCATCTACACCCTCGCTTAGGAACGTAAACTCCTGCCTCCCGTGCCTCTACATCCAGAGCCGTCTCAGTGACTCACTTTATAACAGGTTGACAGTGTCCTGAAAAGAGCGCATCTTCCCCATAGCTGATCTACCCAGTGATCGTTTAAGTGAACAGCAACGGTGAGTGAGGAATCCACCTGGGAGGGTCTTTAACTTGTAGATCTCCAGGCCCCTGGCCCGGACATTCAAGTTCAGTAGGGTTTGGGGTGAGGCCCCTTGGAATCGGCACCGGAAATTAGCATGCCCATTCCAAAGCAGATCTACTGTTCATTTCTCAGAAGCAGAGGAAGGAATAAAGCCGAGACTGGGGGGCTGGAGCAAAGCACAGCGGGTGGGGCGTTTGCCTTGCACATGGCCGACCCGGGTTCGGTTCCCAGCATCCCATATGGTCCCCCGGGCACTGCCAGGGGTAATTCCTGAGCGCATGAGCCAGGAGTAACCGCTGTGCAGTGCCGGGTGTGACCCAAAAAGCAAAAAAAAAAAAAAAAAAATGCCGAGACTGATAAAGCGAAGTAGTTGAGGTTCAGTCTCAATGGGATTGGCGGTCAGCACTTTTTCTCCGACTCCTAAAACACAGGGCATCATATTTGTAACAAAGTTACCAACAGGCGGGTCCCGGATGGCGCTGGCTTGACTGGGATCCAGACAGGGTGCTCGGTGGCACAAAGCTACCCCCACACCAGCTTGTTCTCCCAGGGAGTAAGTGGCAGAGTCCTGAATCTGCAAAGCCACTGTCACTTGAAATGTTGCTGCTAATAATATATTTAATGGGGATAACATGGCACAGCCTGGCCATTAAGCTGTTCTGACGCATTTCTCTCGCTGGCGCTGACTTCGGGTTGATAACATCTCTGTCATTACCTCCCAGTTTCCCTCTTGCCC